CACCTCCGGCCCCTGCCCTGCCCCTCTGACACCAAAGGGATGGTGTCAGAGCAGTTAGGGCATAACTAGGTCCCATCAAAAGAAAGGCAGCCTTTGTGTCAAGGGATGACCGTCCTTTCTTGCCCCCTTTCAACCTCCTGCGAGTGTTGGGGCCAGCCTTTAGCTATTCGAACTCTGCTGAGTGACTCATACCCCTGGTATGAATGGGTATCTTGTACAGGCGTCTGTAGAGACGATCAGTGTTCGGCCGCTGGGGGGAGAGTGTGGAGCTATGGAGTGAAAGCCTGAGATTGTGCGCTCAGATTAAAGCCCAGTCTGCAGATAAAACCCAGCTGTCTTTCCTTTGCAGCTGCTGAATCCCAACGGGGGCAAAAGAGGAAGCCTGAGTGTTTGTGTCTTTGTCATTTTACTCCTGCAAAGGGGCTTTAAAATACCTAGCAAAGGAGAGTGCACAGTGGGAGTGTAACCCTTGTGCAACAAAAGGCATCTGTGCTGTGTAGGTCAGCTTGTTGTGTCCAGGTCTTCGCTGTTCTTCTTTGTGCCAGGGAGAGATGGTTTGAAGTCCAGTTATATTTGTAGGGAGCTGTTTGCTTTGTTCCTTGGGAACAGCTGTTTTTTAAGCTCAAGGGTAAAACAGAAAATGGGAGATATTTTGTGCGTTCTGTTGTGGGGAGGCCAACTTTTACAGGGACTTAGCACGAGGACCTTGTTATGGCTGGAACTGGTGTCTCCAGCTTTATCTACAGAAAGATTAATTTAGTAGTAGTCATACAACAGCCTAGATCTGTAAAAAACCTGTTCATTGCTGACTAGGAGCAAGGCAGGGGCTGTCTGTCAGGACAGGGGTTCTCCCTGAAAAGTTGTCTTTGACCCTAAGGAAGAAGAGGCCACATCACCCTGTCTTCAGGACTGCCCAGTCCCTTTAATCTGGTACACATGTTCCTCCTCATAGTTTTGACTTCCCTTACTGTTTGTGTATAGGAATAGTGCTCCCAAACAGTTTTCTGTACTGTCGGTTTGATTCTCCTTGTGGTAAACAGGTTTCCGTTGCACTGCCATTAAGCACTTTTAAGAAATAGTTATGTTCTCCTGGTAGTCTTCTAAGAGCTCTTCTCACTCTGGTTTTGAGATACTGAACTTTTCCCCTTATATTGTAGTCCAGCAGAACATACAGCCACAGTCCTGACTGTGAATCAGTGCTAAAGTCCCATTTGCTTTAATAGTGCCCTTCAGCCTTTGGTTGAGCCCCACAGAAGTCACTGGGAACATAAATCTATGTTTAGGTGGTCTGCCTTGGTGAAATGGGCCATTTGTTGCTTTATTGAATCATCATTATAACATACATTGCTCCTTAGTAACTTGGTGAAATGTCCTAAACAATATCAAAAAAAGCAAAAGTTTCGCTTTTTTTGTATTGTTGTCTGAATCAGATGTTTTCTATGATACTGAGTGTAGTCATCAGGTTATCCAGCAACCACTTGCTTTTGTCCAGTGATCTTATCTCTGTTGCCCACACTTTTCCATTCTCTACATCCCTCTGGCTCTGTGAGTTAAACTCACACTTGCTGCTGCTTGTCTTCCGTTATCTTGTGGTTTGAGGTATTTTTTTAAACCTGTGGGATTGTTCCTTTCCTGCCCTATTGAGGTCTTAATCCCAGCCCCTGCCTTTGAACACTACTGCAGAAAAGCATCGATGAAGACAGTCCTGCATTTTACTGGCTGATGAAAAGCTGGCTCCCGGCATCTCCTCACATTCTGTTCTAATGTCCTGCTATTCCCATTATTTTACAGTACTTCATATTGTTGCTGTGCATCTTTCTCCTGGAGATCATTGCTGGAATCCTGGCCTATATCTACTACCAGCAGGTGAGTGGACATTAGTCCTTAGAGACTCAAACCAGGGAGAGAAAAAAGCTGGCTACCATCCCATTTCTCCAGCCAGAATTGGGCTTGGAGGCTTGGGACCTGGGATCTGGTTGTGATTCACCTTTCCACTTATCCGTACTCACTCCCCTCCCCATACAGAAGACCTTGGATTATTTACGGTTCTTGGCAAAGTGGTGGTGGGTGGTTACTAGGGAGGCTGCTCAGCCTTGCTGCTTAGCTCTTTCCTGTGGTTCACCCCTATGCACTGTTTTTCTGCAGAGCCTTGTAGAAGACAATTTTTGAGGCTTTGTAGATCTAGGAGCTCTTCTAACACCCTTCAAGGCATAGTGCAAGCAATTGAAAGCACATTAATGCCACTTAGTATATTCAGAACATAGGAACAGTTCCGGCTGCATCCAGCAAGCTAGCTGCCATACTTTTGAACTGGTCCAGCTGAGAGGTCCTTTCAGGTCAAGAAGTTTTTGAGAGCTTTACTTAATCAGTCCAGCTGAGGGGTTGGAGAACAGCACAGCCTCCCAACCACTGCAGTTCTAGCTTGGCACTTCTTGCAGTTGCAGAGAGCAGAGGCTTAACTCATCATTTGTATTCAAAGGGAGTTAAGCCACCAAGGCACAGCCTGGGAAGTTCCTCTCATGTCTGGAAATTGATTGGAAATGGCAAATTAGGATTGTTGTCAAGTGGCTGTCTGAAAAGCAGCTGGACATCGGATCTTGTTGGCTTCACTGCCAGGATTCCTTTCCATTCCTTTTCCTCTTGAGCCTTCTGTGGTTTGCCTTGCTAAGATGGGCACTGGTGGTTTGTGAGGAGCCGAAGAAATGTGCTGGCTCCTAACAGGAGGTAGGAGAGTGTGTATTTAACAGGGAAAGATAAATCCTTGCAGGCACGGTGAGAAGTTGAGGTCCGTCCATCTATCCATGCAAAGGCACGAGGTTCATATATGACAATGGTTGAAGAGGAGCTGATCCTTAGGTTGAAATAAGGGATGACATATTTGGAGCTGTACCCTTGAATGCTTTAGATCATTTGAGGGCATCTCTTACCAATAGCTGCAGTTCCCCTTGCCCCTGGCTGACAAATCTGCCTTCTTTCCTGGTTGCAGGCTGCTTGCTCTGTTTGCCACTGGTTTTATTTCAGCCATTGCTTTGGTGTCTAAGGCTTGCATGTATGTGTCTAAACTGTTTCTTTTGTTATCTCTATTCCATGCTGCAGTACTTCCCCGTGAGCCCGCAGGTAACTGCTTTTCTCCCAAGTAATAATTCTGCTAATGGACTCTCCTCTTTATTTGCCTCTGATCCATTCCAGCTGCTGAACCTTTTCCTTTCTTTTTATTACACTAAGTCCTTTGCACTTCTGTAGAGCTTCCCAGCCCAGGATCTCAAAGCATTTTGCAAATATTAATGAATGAAGCCTCTTACCATCTCTGTGAGGTAGGTGTTGTCCCCATTAGACACATGGGGTTGGAAAAAACAGTGTTTCAAAGGGAGAATAAACTGCAGACTGTATTTAGCACGGTTCAGAATAACCAGATGCTTGACTTCTCATTTACTACTTACTGTGTAGAATAAAAGGTGTGTAGAGTGCCTACCCACCTGTTCCATTCACTGACCCCATTTAAAGTGCGTGTTGACGTTGTTTATTGGAATAGGAAACTTCGCATTTCACAGATGTTGGACTAAAGCAGTGTTGCTGTATGAACTAGGATGACAAAAAAAAAGATGCAGATCTTGGCACTTTTTGGCTATGACCTCGATAGGTGAAAAGAATTCAGATTAAAAGAGCATCCACAGGAATAAATGTTTGAATCCAATCACCTGAACATGCCAGTGGTTTGTGATGATGCTTTCAGAAATTCTGTACTTCCAAAATCAGGCCTTATCTCCCTATCACTGTTGACAAGAAAGGCCTTGCAGTACTTTCGCAACTGCACACTTAATGCCCTCCTGTGGCATCCTTTTTGATGCCGATACAATAGCTATTCAGGCTACAGGGCTTCAGTCCAGCATGCCGAGGACTCTGATTTCTTCCTGCTCCTGGACAGAGTGATCTGATTTTTAGTATTTTGTCACAGGCTTCAGAGGGAGAAAACTGCACATGGTCTCACAGGCATATTCATATTTAAGCAGGCAGTTTTGTATTCTCTTTTAGTGCAGGCGTGTCTTGGTAATCTTACATATTCAAAGTGAGGACCCATATGGTCATGTGTAGTGCAGGCTGAAATTTAGTCCTGAAGAACCTCTTTCCAGTTATGAAAATGGAGGCATGATCTGTAATCAATTTGAAATAAGCCTGGTCCAGTCAAACCTTGGAGGATGATCTTGAAGGAAGCTGTGGCTTCCACTAGGCTCTCTGCTTTTTCCGTGGAGTAAAGGCAATGGAACGTATGCAGGGCTCTGGGCTGCTCTGAGGGGTGAGTTTGCCTTGTGATTTTATACTACTTGTCTCTTCCATTCAGCTAAGCATGGAACTGAAGCAAAATTTGAAGAACACCATGACCCAGAAGTACCGGAAGGAGGGAGAAGAGAGTGTTACCAGTGCAGTAGACAAACTGCAGCAGGAGGTAGGTATCTGTAAAGGCAGGGAGAATTAATACAATTGCAGGGCTTAAAATCAAACCCACAAACGGTGTGTTTGTCAGGGCTCTTAACATCCAACATACAGATGTTTCTTCTGTATGTTGAGTGTATGTTCTGCTGCTTCTGATTCAAGACAAGGTTGTGTGGGGTACAGGGCCTGGACTGTGCAACTGGCAGAATGGCATGGTGTGATCTCTGAATTGCATGCCCAGTAGCACTGGGGAAACAACATCTGGATTGCTCCCAGAGTGAACCAGAGCTGCTGAGTCATTCTTGACAGCTGTTTCTACTTCCCACTTTAAGGCTTTGGAGAAATTGCTGACGTTTTTCATTAAGCTGCTCAGTACCCTAGAGAGCAAGATATAATGAAAGAAGAGCCTTCCTGCTGCTGTTGCTAGCTGTGCCTGGCTCAGGGGTGGTTCAGGTTAGGGCTGCCGCAGTTCTGACAGGCTTTCCCACAGGAAGGATCCTTGTGCACAGGCACTTTCAAAACACGGGGCCTACTATATGCATACTGCTATAGCAGGTGCATTTGCGATAGTAACTGGTAAGTAAACTTACCCTGTTATTGCCATTAACACTTGCCAGTCCAGTGCAGCTGCAGGTGTGCTCTGGTTACAGTTCATTCCAGCAGTAACCAAAAGTCACAGCTGCTAAAAGATGGATGAAGCTGATACTTAATGGCCATTCTGGGGACTCCTAATGCAAAAGTCACTAGTAATTATAGTAGCCTAAAAACAAACAAACAAAAAAGACTGTGAGATAGCTCTGGTGTCTCTCTGCAAAGGAGAGTGATGCCCAGGGCTTGGCGTGGGAGGCTGGAGGGAGAAGGAGTTTGCAATGCTCGCAAGCTCAGCCTTTGCTCTGTGTGCATGCAGTTCAAGTGCTGTGGGAGCAACAACTACACAGACTGGGTTGACAGCCTGTGGATCAAATCTCCTGAGGCCAATGGACGGAAAGTCCCAGACAGCTGCTGTAAGACAATAACTGACCTCTGTGGCCGAAGAGACCATCCTTCCAACATCTACAAGGAGGTAAAGAGCAAAAGGGCTTCAGAGCCGCCTGTCATAAACTATGTAAAGGAGGTGGGCCAGGAGTGCGGGTGTTGAGTTGATGCTGCAAACTGTCAGTAGGATTCCTTAGAAAGTAGAATTAATTTCTCTAGTTGAGCATTCGGCTGCCTAGGCTCTGATTTTATATGTAGATATAGAGAAAAATAGTAAATTGTGTTTGTTACTACAGAGTATGCCAGTGATGGGGGAAGCAGGAGAGGTGGTTGGTTCTGGCAAGAAACTTGCATGTGAGCTCTGCATCTGACACTGCTTCCTGTCATTGGAATTACTCAGTGCAAATGGAGATACTTCTGGTCCTTGACTGAGATAGTGGGATTTGACCTACAACATGAAGAAATAGTGTATGGGGAAGAAGGAAGGCCCTGTAGCAGACCAGTTCCAGTGGGCTGCAGTTTAGGCTGAAAAGAAGGCTGGAGATAGAGGGGCTTGTATCTTTTCTAGAAAAAGCAAGCTGAATCCCAGGCTAGCTGAGTAAGTAAACAGGTAGCTGTCAGACCATTTATTCATCCAGTTTGCATAAGGCTGATAAAAGTTCTTGCGTTTATTTTGGCACCCTCTAGTCCTGTCACCTGGCTTTAACTTGCTCACTGTGACACTCTCTGTGGGGTAGCGTAATCCTTTTTCTCATCAGTGGAACCAGCACCTTTGCTGGCTGTATTGAGCCTAGGGAGCACCAACTGGAGCTTTTTCCTTGTTCCTGTCCCCCTGACAGTTAAGGAGGGCTGTGGATGAAGAGGTGGCCCCTTCAAAGCAGGTACTTCTTCTAACAGTCTGTGCTTTGAGCAGGACTCGGAAGAGGAGTGTGAATAACATCTGCCATTTAGCCCAGCTACTCAAACAGCTGAAAGGAAACCAACCATCTATCTTTGGGGAATGAACAGCGAGTCTTTTTGATCTACCAAACCCCCTCTTATGTCCAGCTGCTTGGCTGGGTTTTGCTCTTCAGGAATAACACTTTCCCGTAAGTTTTGCTTCCAGGCAAGATGCAACGATGAACTGCAGAAGAGAGTCCAAGGGCTGAAGAAGTGTTTCTGAGAGTGGAAACCCACAACTGTTTGAGGGACAGGCCTGGCAATTCCTGTTCTCTCTCTGTGCTGTGGGAAGCTGGAGGCAGCTGCCCAGCTGCATTATTAAGAGAGGCCCTGTAGGCTGCCAAATATGTTGGGGTAGCTCTAAAGGAGAAAAAGTTGTAAGGGGAGATTTGCATCTATAGTCAGATGCTGCATATCATGATATGAGGTCTCAGTCAAGAGTTCTGAAAGAATTTTAGTGGCTTTGAGGAAGAAAAACCTAGAAAAGGGTCAGATCAAGGAACGGGAGTTCGTATCAGGGCAGCTGGAGCTGACTCTAAAACCTAATACTGGCATGGGAAAAGTGAGGCCTTTGCCATCCCTCCCTGGAGTGCTGCGTGCTCGCTTCTTCCCTCTGCCTGTGTGTGTGTAGGTGTCTGTATCCACTGTAAACTTCTGGGGCAGGAGGGCCCCTAACACCCCTGGGGCAGTGCTATTGCCTACACAATAAATCCCCCTGCTGTTACCATGGAAAACCTGCCTCAGTAGATTAAACAATTTAATTATATAAAGGGAACTCTTAAAAAAAAAAAACCAAACCCCCAAAAAACCCCAAACAGAACCCAACCCAAAACCAGAGAATGCTATTACTACTTTATTTTTGCCTTATGACAACAAAAACTTGTGCCTGAAACAGGGAGGGAAAGGTCACGCTGGCAGCCAAGGATGCAGTTGCAAGGCAGAGACAGAGCTTGGCTTTCCAGGTCCATGCTGAAACTCACTGCTGTCATAAATAGCAGTGGGAGGGGTTTACTCTTAAAAGGCTCTTGTCATGTTAGAGGTCTTGGCACTGGATCCACTCAGCAAGATTTCCCTGGCCTTTTGGCCTGACAGGAGTGAACACCCTTTCCAGGCACATGCTAGGCAGTGAGTAAGAGAACCTTTCTCCCCGTATCTCAGAGAAAAACGACACGTTCCCTCTGTGTGATGTGGCCGGTTCTTCTGCATTTCTCCTGCCCAGCTAGCAGCCACAGTTTGTTCAACAGTTCCTGAGCCAGTAGGTCCAGAGCAATGCAAAACATGATGCAGTTTACATCATCTGTGTAGCTTTTCCAATGATGTCAGGGGAAGAGGTTGCTCACAGACACTACTTTTTATAGCATTGCTTTCAAGGGTTGCAAACATTGGATTAAAGTGAACAAGAGGTTAAAATGAAGCTGATTCTCTATGTCCCTCTTCTCACCCTGCAGAGCGGTTGCATTACGAAGCTGGAAAACTTCATTCAAGAGCATCTGAAAATTATTGGGGCAGTGGGGATCAGCATTGCTTGCGTGCAGGTAAAAGGGCTGAGTGGGGTTTTGGGGTGCTAGACAGAAGTTAAAGCAACCCTAGAGCTGAGGGATGATAAAAATTGGATGTTTTAAGCTCTTCCCTACCTGACAAGAAGTTGCCAGGTACTTCGGGGACCCGAGGATTCACTAGATCCAAAGAGAAAGCCTATTTTGCCAGTGTGTAAAATTTGCTTCTGGTGAAGGAGTGCAGCCAGCTGGGCAAGGGGGGAGAGACTTTTGCTCCTGGGCTGTGGGAAGGGCAGTGTTGGCCATGGCAGACGGTTTGGCAGCCTGAGAGAGACCTCTTGTGGGGATGTGCCATGGTTGCCTGTGCAGCTGAAGAGCCTCTCTGGAGGACTTTCCTACCCTGGCTCATTAGGATTATTTTAAGTCATCCAGAATTTCTCCCTCAGTTGTGTCATATTGAGGAACGGCACTGTGGGTCTGCAAATGATGAGATGGGGGTAATGAATTAAGGGGTAAGATATGGATGTCCCCCTCTCCCATTTTAGAGGGGAGGGCACAGGCTATTCTTTTCTTCCAGATGCAGTTGTCTCTGTGAGTTCCTCATCTTCCCCTTTGTTCTGGCAAGTAGCCAAATTACACCCCAGAGAAGCTGCTGGTGATTAATTATGAGGATTTGCACACATTATGTTATCTCCTGCTGCTTATTGCAAGGTGGAGTGCTGTAACCCCAGGCAGGAGTTAGCTGCCACTCCAGTCTAGGTCCAGGCTGTTGGTTTGCAAGCTGCTGCCTCCACTGCATCCATCTTATTTTTTCATGCATTTCTCTCTTCCCTTTATGCCCTGTAGATCTTTGGGATGATTTTCACCTGCTGCTTGTACAAGAGTTTAAAGCCAGAACCATATTAATAGCTGCAGGAACTCTGTCGCTCCCCCTCTGCCACTTCCCTTAGTGCCTGCCAACCTGACCACTCTCCACCACCACCACAGAAGTGTCTATAACCTGAGGACTTGGCTCTGTAATTAAATGCCTCTCAAACCATGCACCGCCTTACCTGCCCCCATGGGGGAAAGTCACCCTCCTTGTTGTGTACAAGCCAGAAGTTCAGCAGGTCCTCTTCATTGTCAAGAAACAAAAGAGTTGTGGATCTTCTGTGTGAAGCTTTAGCGAAACAGTCCCTTGATATAACTACGAAGCAAGGTTTATCCAGGGCCATTTCTCTTGAGGCTTTTCCTGAGCCAACATGAAGGTATCGGGATGCTATACAAGAACCACGGTTTGCTTTCTGAGAAGTGCTTCAGCAGCACCAGGCGTTGACTGTGAGGACAGATGATGTTTCTGCACTGAGTTGGAGCCAGAACTGAGTCTCTCATACATGGAAGATTTCTCTCCCTCCTCCCGAGTGTGCACCGATGTCCTAACACAGCTGTTTGCTGCCTGAGAGCATGCCTGCCTGGTTGCTTGGGGCAGGAGCTACTCTCCCTGCTGATCAGGAGCTCAACTTGGTGCAGCTAAAATCTTGTCATGACCGATGTTGCAAAGATGCGAGTGCCTTAGGATTTCTCAGCAATCCTTCCTCCTCTTCCTTGAAGCATCCCCCAGTACAGTGCCATCAAGAGCCACAAGAGGCCTTTTGCCTCCTAGTGATTCTGGAGCAAAGACGATGGACTACTTTCCAATTCTTTTGGGTCTAGTCTGTTTTATTGAGTGGCTTTCTGTGTGAGTGAGAAAGTTTTGTTTCCTCCTGCCTATCCCCTGCTGAGGTTTGGTGAAGAATTGGTCTGGTTTTGGAGCTGGCATATCTTGCTACCCTTTGGCCTGTTTGGTTAGTGGAAATACCTTCTCACATCTCTTGCATGTTGAGAGATCCCCTCAGCTTGATTTTTCTAATTAAAGCCTCCACGCTTGTCTCTCTTGGACAGGAAATGAATATATACAAATATTTTATCAGCCTCCAAAGAGCTTATTAAACAGCTGAGGGTTTTCTGGCTGTCATGAGATCTGGAAGCCCACTTTACTGGTTACTACGTCAAACCAGGACAGAAGGTCAGGAGAGTCAGCTTCAACCAGTTGCCCCAGTGTATGTGGTAAACTGGTAGCACTGGATTAACTGTCTGCTGCAGAGGAATTGGTTTAATTAAATATTCTGTCTGCACTGGGATCCTGGATACATACAGCACATAGTCATCACCGCTGCCTTGGACTCAGTGCCATCATGATGCCAACAGGGTCTTGGCCTGAATTCATAGGATCTTGTGTGCCTCTTGTCTTGTTCTCAACTTCCTAGTATGCCTGTTACACTCATGAAGCAGAAAGGGCTGTAGGGTTTTGTTGTTTCTAAGCAGTGAAGCTGCCCTTTTATAAACAAACAAATTTATTCCCTCTCCTGGCCTTTTAGTGGTGCCGGCTGAGCCCTGTCTCTTGGCAGCAGACAGTTAACATAAGCAAAATCACCCAGACCCCTAAATGGTCTTGCAGCATCGTGGGGTTTTTAGTTCACAGAGCAGAAATCTTGTACTGGCGCTAAAGGGTGACAAGTTAAAATTCAGAGCAGGTCAATCTGAAACTCCCCCATCAACATCAGCCCGGTGAAATAATCCTTAACTAATGCAGAAAGAGAGGTGGAGGAACTGAGGTGTATCCTTAGTTCCACAGCAGTAGGAAAGAGGGGAAAGAAATCTAAATTATTGTGTAATGATCTAAAGGAGAAATCTCTAAATTATTTCTTGTTTTATAATCAAGTTCCTGACAAGTATTGACTACTAACTAAGAGGAAAATATTGAGCATGTTGCTTGAAGCAATATTTCTACTTTTTTAAGCATATCTTCATAGCTGCCTTCACCTGTTCCCTTCAAATATGTTGTACAGGGTTGGGAGAGGCTAGGAAGAATGAGATATGAACATTAAGTTGGCTTGTGTCCATTGAGTTGTTTTATACTTTGTGTAATACTATTAATTGCTTTTTTTTTTTAACCCAGTTTAAGTTGCTGGCCAATAGAAAAATAAAGCTTAAGATACTATACTGATTCAGTGTAGCAAAAGTGAAGGGGTACCGTGAGCCAGATGGGTTATATGGATTCCTCGGATCCTTGAGGAACTGGCTCCTCAGCAGCAGCAGAAGCTGGTCTGAGGGACCAGGCTGAGAAGGAAGCTGGGGAAGAATCTGCTTCGCGTCACTGATCTTGCCAGGCTGGTTGTGATCTGCTGCTGCGGGGTGCTGTGCTTTTCCACGTCACGCCCTGAGACCTGAAGTCGCAGGACCTCAGGGTACCGGGCATTGCACATCAGCCACAGTCTGGCACACACAGTGGCGTGTGCACCCAGCCCTGCTCCAGGGTCTGTGGTACACCAAACTGTGATCGCTGGGCTGCTTAGTGACCTCTCTTAGCCTTGTCACACAGGCTGCACTGTCTGGTCTTGTGCAGAGCACTGAGGCAGACAAAACAGGGCTTTTTCCATCGGGTAACTTATATTCACCTTGCCAGCCCAGCTGCTGCCTGTGATTACCAGTCAGGTCTGCTTAAGACAACCAGTTGAGGATACAAATTGGCCCAGGGCTCTGCTGTGCTCTCCTACACCCTGTTTCCACTTTCCCCAAAGATAGTGGAAATCTTTCCCCTTTCCATCTTGACTGTAAGGGCATAGGTGGGCTACTGCAGCAGGGCTGCCTCTTCCTGCCGCTGTGGGATAACAGCATCTGCGTGGGTGCTCTGTGCCTCTGTGTGCTGAGTATTTGCTGTGCATGCTGTGAAGCAGCTCATAGCTGCCTTGCATCACAGACGTGTCAAAAAGAGGGAGCAATTGTGTGCCCTGTTTTACTATCCTTTGGGATTCAGTGTTGAAAATTACTCATTACAAGTTTCAAGTATGCCTGTATCCAGCCAGATGGAAATGTCTGCCTGCAGCTAATGGGCATGGCCACTTGGTGGCTCTCAGGGCTCAGCGTGAATTCAGCTCCTGTAATTCAAGTGAGTCTAATTCAAGCTGCTTGGCTGTGTGGGTAGCAGGGCCATGGTGTCACCAAGCCCCAGGGAAGTGCTGTACAGGTCACACTGGTGTTCCGACGCCTGCAAGGGAGAGTAGCTCCTTCCAGCCCTGGCAATGTGTCTGATTTTCGTACTGTAGCAAGGTGCTGGTCACACAAAACTGAGGCTGGGGGCTTGACCTGGCCTGCACTCAGCTCAGAGCAGGGACTTCTGCTAAAAAACCCTCAAATGTGTTGGCATACGCCGAGGAGACAGACCTGGGTGGCTCAGTGGTGGTGAGATGAGCCAGCGCCACTGCTATGGTACCACTGTGGAGAAAGCAGATGCACTCTTGAGATGCGTTGGGTAAGACAGGGATTTGGTCGCATTCACGTGAGACCTTGTCCCAGGACTTTAGTGTGGCTCTGGCCACCTGTTTCCAGGAGAGGTGAGTTGAAGGCAGAGCATGAACGAATAAGGGAGGGCTCATCCTGGAAGGCTGTTTGCTGAGGTAGGACTGGAGGAGCAGGACAGGCTGGGCTCCTGCCTGCATACTTGCAGTGTGGCACAGAAGGTGGCATAGATGGCTTCGTGTTAACAGTGTCTCCCAGACAGACGCTGGGCCACCTCAGCTGTTCTGCCACGGCAGAAAGAGAAATGCCTGAGCCTCATCTCGTTCCCCTCTGCATCATTAGGGGTTCAGTGTGGTTCCGGTCGCCCTTTCCCACCCCTAAAGGGAAATTAGCCCCTCTTCTGCAAGAGTGTCATGGGGTGGCATCTGTGAAGTCTGTAGCACAGTGTCTTTCAGCATGAAGCAATTGCTTAAAAGCAATTTCTCTTGTTTAAATTAGCTTCTGCAGTGTCTGTGATCAGGGCGCAATTACCATCTTACAGCATCCCCGCAGGCTGCGCAGCCTCAGGTCTCTGGGTGCTGCTGCCTCTCTTGAGGTGGGAGCACAGATTTCTCTCCCTCCGGACCTGGAGATTTGGGCTGTGCTAATTGCCTGTCGCAGCAGTTAGCTCACCTGGTGGTCTGATCTCTTAGGGTGCCCAGGTGGTCAGTACAATTTCCTCAAGAATAAAAGGGAAAACAGACGTAGCAGTATATAGTTTCTTCAAGGGTCCAGCTTTGGGGCAGTCACCCTGTTCCTGCAATTTTAAATAAGACACAAGTATTTCGTACTCCCCAGGGCTGCTTCTAACCCCAAACCAGTACACAAACGTGCCCTTTCTGCCCCTGCCGTTTAATTGGGAGGAATTTTCCCTTCAGGGGGGCCTTGGTGCCCCCTTTCTTTGGCCATTTATAAAGCCTCCCTTCGGCAGCGTTTGTAATGGCCTTGTTTTCCTGCTGGCTAGGGCTGAGCAGGGCTGTGACAGTGGAGAGAGAAAGACGAGGAGCAGGTAGTGATACTCTCCTCTCTAGTGAGATATGACAAACACACCCTGGTTGGGAAATGGTAAAGGGGAATGCTCTCTCCTTTCCTACTGTGAAACCGCCCCAGGTTTCCATATGTACTTGTGTGCATGTATCCCTGGGAGAATATGCTGAGTGCTCTGTGCTGCTTCTTATCAGACAGCACTGAGCAGCGACAAGAGATGCCTCAAGCAGCACCATTGCTCAGCTGGGGCATGGATGTGTGTGAGCAGAGACTGACAGCTTCTCCTGGCATGGCTGGGTTTGCTGTGGGGTCCTGGGCTGGCTCCTGTCCTGTTAAAGAGCAGCTCTTCAGGCTGGTGGCTGCGCTGCACCTTGTCTCCCCGTCGAGCTGCTTCTCCAGGAGGAGCCTGTCTGCCTACCGCTTCCCTGTGCCAAAGTCTGGTCCGGAGGAGAGGTGGCAGTTATGCCGGCTGCATCGCCCAGCTCGCCAAGGAGGCAACAGGGAGGAGATTCATGTGGTGCCTTCGGAAATTACAAATTCCTTGTGTGGAAGGGGCATGGTGCTCTCAAATGATCTATAATCACATGAACGGCAGGGATGCTGGTGCCCACCAAATTCATTCAGTGACTCATTCCGGCACAGCAAGTTGTCAGGCACACTGGGATTTTGAAGTCCTCTTACTCCCTGCAAAAGAGGCTGTTCCTCCTGCTTTCTTGGCTGTCTGCATTAGTAGAAAGGATGCTGCATGTGCTGAGGCCATCAGGATCAGCAGCTTTCTCTCTTCTGATTACTGCTCCCGCCTGCAGAAAAGGAGCATTATGCATTTCCAGGCTTCATTTTTTTTGAGTAGCGAACTGTCTTGCTGACAAGGAAAGAGCAGTTTCTGCCTCTACAGAGGGTAAAGAGAGCCCGGTGCTGATCCTGCACATGGCTGCTGTGTCTGCCCCATTGGGACAGCAAACCTCAGCCTTTCCCCCTCACAGTCCCAGAGGTGGCTTTGATGGCTGCAGCATGTGTCTCCAGCATCCGTGGGGAAAATGTTGGGGTCACACCTCTGCACCCCTCTGTGGTTAGAGGCC